AATACCATTAGCTAGTATCATAGGTGCCACTATTGTGGAAAGCAATATTGAGATTCCTCAAAAAACTAAAATAAGAACTTCTGTATGATTCACCAGTCTCCATATTGGGAATACATCCAAAGAAAGGGAATTCAATATATCAAAGTTGCCCAACTATAATAGCCAGGACTCAACCTAAATGCCCATCAGTGGATGAGTGGAAAGTAAAATGTGACATATATACACAATAGAATACTATTAAACCCTAAAAATGAAGGATACCCTGACACATGTGGCAACATAGATGGAACTGGAAGGCAGTATGTTAAGTAAAAGAAGCCAGATACAGAGAGACAAATACTGTACTTCTCCCTTTTATGTGGAAGCTAAAAAAGTCAATTTGGTGGAAGTAGAGAGTAGAACAGAGGTAATCAGATCTTGGAAAGGGGAGGGGGAGGGGCAGGGGCAGGACGGATGATGTTACCAAAATACAGTTAGACAGGAAGCATAGTGCTAGTGCTAGCACAGTGGGATGATCACCGTTAACAATAATTTATTGTATCTTTCAAAGTTAATAGGAGTGTTTTTAATGTTCCCAGCACAAAGAAACGATACACACCTTTGAGGTGATGAAAATGCTAATAACCCTGATTTGAATCTTAAACATTGTGTATGCATGTGGAAGTAGCACGTGGATCTTTAAACACATACCACTATGTCAACTGAAAAGATTCTTTTACAAAAGAATCATGGGCTCTGGAGTCAGATAGACCCAGTGTTAAATACCCACTGTAAGTATTGACTGGCTTCTTGGTCCCTCACTACTTGGGGTACAACCTGCACAATACTACCTGTATGTGACTATTGCTATGGAGATTAAGGCAATGAGGTGAGGCAGGACAGCTGCATTCAGGATTCCAAGTCCCGAAGGCACTCAAGTAAAGATAAGTCTAATTATGAGTGTAACTGTTTAGAAGACTGTTTAAGGCTCTAGAGATAAAAGCTAGTCCAAAGCAGGACCGAGGTAAACCAGGAGAACTTCAGTGGGAGTCAGCAGGCTTGAAATTAGCATTTCCCAAAGTTAGGTCCCAGCAGCAGTAATTCTTCAAGACATGAAAAACTTTTACTCATTAAAAATAAATGGGATTCTGAACCAAATGCATTTAGGAGACATTGGGTGCAGTAATTTAACAGGAATCCTATTGCCAGAGTTCTAGGTGACTTTCACAAGCAGATCCTCCTGGTGCACCCCCAACCAAAGTTGACCATGGAAACTTTATTTCTTGATCCATTTCTATGTACTCTGGGAAACTGAGTTTAAATGAATGGGCCTCTGGGTCCTGTCTGGCAACTCTTTCTTGAAGTCAAAACCCAGAGCCATTGTATTCACATGTAATATACTTAATATATAAAAGTAATGAGGCAACCTTTTTGTATTTTTTATTATTACGTATGTGTGTCCCACATCTATGAGATTTCCAAAAGCTTAATTACAATTGAGAACTAGAGAAAAAATGTATTGGTTTCAGCGGGGGAAAAATACAAAGAGAAAACTGCAAAAATCTGACATTTCAGGAAGCATCTACAAAATGTAGCACCGTGCCAACTAGTCAACCGCTGCTCACATTACATATAACTACTTAAAAATATACTTCTGGAACATGGAAAATTTTAACACATTTGATATATTGTAATTCAGACTCCATTAAAATGAGAACCTAGAATTTAGAAATGGCATCCATTGCTTTCGAAAGGACCATATCGTTAAACTGTGCATAAACACTCTTCCCTCCCTCTCCCTCTCATTTCTGCCTCCCCTTTGGTGCCGCAGAAGTTCCAGTAAGGAACTAAACTTACAAACTGCCCCCCTTCCTGAGAGGAGAGCTGAATCCAGTTGATTTACCCAACAGTGGGGCGGATGGGGCATCCTCCATCCCCACTTCCACAAGCTCGCAGGGGCCCACAGACCACATTTTGGACTCCTCACCACAGAGCAAGTCTTTTTTGGCAACAGCCACAGGGTCCTGCAGCAGAACGCTGCTCTTTCTCGGTGAATCCCCCCTCCCTGTGAAAAGCCACTCAGGGCACCTATTTTACAGCTGGTGGCTTCGCATTCACTGCTCTTTGAACGGAACTCAGGCTTCAGGGGTTTTCTCCAAACGGATGGCAAAAGACAACACAGTCAGCAGTGGGTGGGCAAAGGGCTCAGAGAAAACTCAGCGCTTCTACAGGTCTTCTGAAGAGGCTGAATTTGTTCGAAAGCAGATGCTGGGTGATCTTGTGAAGGTACAAATTCTCATGCCGACACGAGGCTGTGTCCGTGTTTTCGGCAGCCTCAGCATGGCTCAGATGTTCAGCCCCATTACAGCCAGTGGAGAGAAAGAGCAGCAAACAAGAGGGGTAGGAGGGCTCTGTGGTCTAGAAAGACAGCTGTGCTTGGGGATGAGTCTAAGTCACTGTCCCTTTCCCTACTTCTTTGAGGAAAAAGAAAAAAATGAGAAGCTAGGCCTTTAAAACCCCAAACATCGACCTTTCTTTCACATCAATCTTATTTTTCAAGGTCTGTTAAATATCACAGCAAGAAACTCTCTCCTCTCACTTTTAATGTTTGATTCTAACAGTGTGACTCATTTCTCATTGTTTCCTGTATCCCAAAGTCTGTTGTGAGTGATTTAAACAGCAAATGAAATGAGGGTAAATATACACAGATATTTTCTCTTTCTCCTCTCTCTCTTCTCTTCTCTTCTCTCTCTCTCTCTCTCTCTCTCTCAGAAACTACCCTTTCGCTTCACTGTTACTGTAACATGAGAAACAGTAAAGATAATCAACCACAACTGTGTGAAGAAATTATCATACATATAAAGATGAGGACCAAAGAAAATAGAATTAAAATTTGCTGCATGAAAAAAGAATATTCCCCTGCTCCATAATTTTTTGAGCTAATTCCCCTGTCTTAGCAGCAGTGCTTCCCGTGAGGTTTTTGCCCTTAAGGATTTCACCACTTCCACTGCAAATATAACTTTTTCTCCCTCTCTCTTCATCCCTCTCCTTATTATTGTCACTAGAGGGTGTACAATGACACGTTCAAGAAAATGCTTGCTTGGAGGGCAGAGTGCGTTTCCTCCGCACTTGGACTTCCATTTATTCCACTAAATTTCCTTACAATTAATTTTTAAAAGAGCTGAGAGAGTTCATTTCCCAAGCAGCTGACAAGAGCTGTGTTCCATGAAAGCAAACTAAATGATACTTGGTGACCATTTTTGCTACCACTATGAAAATCCTTACAGGCTTCAGTTCTGACTCTGCAGTCTGCTCTTTACTACTCTGATACAGTAATCTGGATGTGTTGATACTCCCATGATACTCATCCAGAGCCAGGAACTGGTTTATCTTAATTGCACTTTAGCCTAAAGCATATTAAATGCAACTTGATTATAAAATGCATCTGAATTGCCACAATAAATTTTTTGGCAAGATTTCCAAACCTGAAATAAAGAAATCTATAATCGCCTCATCTGGCCCTTTTGCGGACTTGTCAGGTAACTTTGTATAGAGGCTGTTCCCTCCCTACACCTCCTTTTCTCAGCCAATGAGCTAGTAAAAATAGGTTTGTGTAGCACTCAGAAATGGCTGCAAGACACTTCTTTATATTTGGACAGCACATTGCAAATGAGAAGCTCACATTAGGCAAATATGTCAGAATGCTGCTTCAGCACAGGTTGTTGGAGTGAGCATTTTTTTAAAAATTTCTCTTGCACAAAGTCATTGGCCTCATCACTCAGCCCTGCCCTTTACAGCTCACTGTTGCACACTGCACTATGCTGCCTCACCTTCCCTGGTGACTTAACTGTGCTCTCACTCTGCCAATACGATTCCAGGCACAGAGAGCTAAAGGAATGCACTTGATGGATAGAATACATAGCTGGAAGCAGGGATGCCTTGCTCCCCTATCTAGTCAGGGATCCACTGGGTGGGAGGGCTTTCTGAACACACCCAGTGTGACAGCCTGCCCGATCCCTAGGCATTCCAAACCAGTGCCTGCATCTAGAGGAATGCAGACTCCCTTGCACAAAGGTGTGTGGGAGTAAAGCAAAGAGGCAGGAGAAAACCCATGCACATGTTTGCCCCCATTTCTCCTCCCACACACTCCGGAAGGAATTCCAAGCCACAGAAAGTGGCAGAAATAGCATGAAAAATTATTCAGCCTTGACCTCTACCTACAGACCACTAGAAGAAAGAATGCAAAGTACAAAACTGTAGGCGAGAACTATCTCTGCCTTCAGTAAGGAAGAGCATGGAACTTCCTTTTTCAAACCAAGGAGTTCAAAGAACTACAAATATAGCTAGACACAGTGGTGCATGCCTGTAATCCCAGGTCTCTGGGAGGCTGAGGCAGGAGGATTGCAAGTTGGAGCCCAGCCTGAACAATTTAGTGACATAGCAGGACCCTGTCTCAAAATTTAGAAATGGGGCTGTGATTTAGTGTGAAAGCTCTGAGTTTAATTCTCAATACCACCAATTTGTTATCCAATGCATTCTCGATACTCAGAATCACCACGTGCAAACATATATATAATATATATTTTATATATATAGTTATCCAATATATTCCCTCAGCTGCCTTTCATAATTCAGGCACAAATACTATCAGAGCTGGGGAAGTACACTTGAAAAAAAAAACCTTGCCTGCAATCTGTTTCCCTGAAAGACAATACTAGAATAGCTTATATTGCAAAACTTGGAAAGACATGACCATACTAGTATGCAAGCTCACTGGCTAAGTCACAGGTGACAACCCTAGACCTCAAACATATGTTATCCCCCTAAGAAGCATTTTGATGGCATGAAGTAATGACCAGAGCTAGGATTCTTAACTTTTTTTTTTTAAGGTGACAGCTTCATATTGTCGGTTGGTTCGAGCGCCCCCATGTGTCTCAACAGAGTAATGTCACTTAAGGTCTCAAGGCTATTTTAAATGACAGATTGGGTAACACACAAATCCTCTTTTACACTTGTTTCAGGAGCCTCGTGTGAAACTCAGAAGACTCACGGGCTACCCTCCGAGCATGAATTTTCCTTCCTGGATCTAAAGTGACATCACAACTTACACCCTAAAGAATGAGGTGCAGCTGCTAACAGGAGTGGAGGCTAATTTCAACTTGCCTGTTCTGGTTTAAGCCTGTCAGGTCATCCTGTCTTTTTCTTTTTCCTGCCCCTCCACCTCCTGCACCCTGAGGGGCAATGCTCTAAGCACACACACCCTCTCTACCACTAAACAACTGGAGCTACTTCTAGAATAAGCAAATCTCAGGAGATTTTGTACCATCTACCCTGTGGAGCAAGGAAGCCATTCTTCTCTGGTCCCTGTCTCCTCCTTTGGGAAGGGAAGACAATAGTCTTCTCACAGATACGATGCAATGTCTGGCCTGGAATAGATAGGCAGCCAGTAAGTGTTAATTGCATCCAAACCTATAAACTTTGTTCCAATCTACTTGCTTTATTATATATGTAGAAAACAGACACAACATTCATCCTTTAAGAATGAGCTTGAGAATTCCTGGAGCATAGGAAGAAATCGGCCATCTTTCTGCACTGCCCACCATCCCTGCCGTAGCGCTGGACACACCGTGACCCTGCATAAACCAGCGAGGTGATGGCAGGAAGGATGGGCACAGAGAGGGAGTTTGCCTTCTTTATATAATTTTTCACTTTCTTTCTTTGGCAGTTTAAAGCAATCAAAGGCACATAAGAAGTACAGATTCATGCAAGAATTCAAAGCCATCTACACAGAAAACCTGGAATCTTTATAGACAATAAATGGTAGAAACCGTTTTCCCCCTCATCTTGCTCTTTTCTTCCCCCCCCCTTCCCTTTGTCTTGAGGTTAGGAAGGCATGACTCAACAGTTCAACACACACACACACACACACACACACACACACACACACACACACAGAGGCATAAAAGAAAAAAAAAAGCCTAGAATTGCCCAAGAAAAATAGTCCAACCTTGGTTACTATGTCAAAACAACCTTGCTGGGTCTTGCGTTCTGTTAACAAAAAGAACATTTACCAAGAAACCATGCTCTTGGGCTCCTCTCACCCAAAAGGCAAAGAGCTGCTCACTGCTTAGCTCTAAGCTAGCCAAATCCAACAAAGCCATAGAGATTTCTGGCTTAATCTTCTCACTGAACCCACGCCAGCCTTGCACGGGCACAGCCAGGGCATCATCACCCAGCCTGAGGTGTTGGCAGCTACTCCTCCACATTTCTTAGCACTTTTCCTGCTCAGGGCAATGGCAAAAGGCACCCTCCCTCCCACCATGGTGCCTGGGGGCACCTCCAGCTGTGCAGGGCTTCACCTACAGAAAGTATAGTCAAGTCCTTTAATAGGTAATTCTACAACCTTCACAGAACAGCAAGTGCCTGCCTCTCACCTAAATACTCAGTAGTCTGAGTAACCTTAGCATAGGCAAAAAAGGGAGGGAAAAGTGCGATGTGGATCCTCTTCATTATCATTTTCCAAGTCATTGGTTTGCTTGATAATATCCATTGTATTTCAAATGTCCCTCATATTTATCTTCCTTTCCTGCCACCAACATAACCTCATCAACACAAACTGGGTTTACTAAGCAGTCATAATGCCTCCATTCTTCTCTTTGTCAAAGCTGTTATATACGTGATGAAAGGGTCTTCCCCAAACACTCATTTCAACATGTGGTATAACAATCCCTATTCAGGACCTCCTATGTATCCATGTTGCTTGCAAGACAAAACTCTAGCTCTAAAGTCTGACATTCCAACTTCTCCACATTCTCCAAGACCCCAAGAGAAGATACAAAGAAACCAGAAGTCATCTGCAGAGTTCCCAAGACTTATATCATTGCTACATCAATATCCAAGGCAACAGAGCAATAATCATGGACTTTCAAATATCCTCAAACTTGACATTTGAGAAGGAACTATACATTGAGCATTTCCATTGAGACTTCAATTCGCTCCTTTGCAGTTCTCAAATGTGTTGATGCACACACTGGTTACATTCAAACCAAAGTGGCTCATGGCCATTGTACTTCCTCAAGTGACAGCTTACCCACTGTTGTGAAATGCTAGCACACCTAGCAACGAGCCTCCAGGCATGCACTGGTAAATGAGCAAAATAAGGAGGAAAATAAATCAACATCAGGAAAAAAAAACACAAAAGACATCCTGATACTTGTAGGACATTGTGTTCTGGTGAGAGTATCAGAGAGAAGGCAAAAGAAAGTGGATGGTCAGAAGTAAATCATCTCTCCACCAACCCAGCAGACGGCACAGGGAAAGTCCAACATGAGAAATAGACAGCAGTGCCATTAAGCAGGTAGAGAATGCGGACAAGCCGAAGTCAGGGCCATTGGGAAGCATATGTGTCTGTCCTCTTGTTCCTTTTCCGGAAGAGAAGGCTGAGTGATCTATTTCACACCACCAGACATCTACTACTTTTGTCCAAACCATTTTTTTTAAATGCCTTAGAACTATCCAGTACAAGAATTTCATTTTTAAAATATTAGAGCTTCTTCTTAAATTGTTAAAAAGAAACACAAGTTCACATTCTGCCCTCACTGATCATTCCTTGAAGATCCGTCCATGAAGTTTTCCCCACATCTCTAGCTAATGCTACCCATGCCTATGTCTTGCCAGGCAAGGTGTTGACATCTTGAACCTTTCTGGGTATCACCAAGGTTTGACATTATCCTAACTGGACTGCAAACACCTCAAGATCAAGAATTGCAATCTTCCTTCTGCTGGGTCTTGTGTCTTTTACCCTCCTGTAATCATTCCCAGGTACTCAGCCAGAAAAGTATTAGAGAAATAGCAAGACTGCCAATTAATAAAAATTGAAATGTACAAATTATTTAGTGACAATCTGAAAACCCCTTACTTTTAGATATTTTCTGCATCCTTCATTCCTTCTATCCCAGCAGCCCTTTCTTTTTACAAAGGGGAGGCTATAAGTCACTCAGCAACCCACTCTCTCCACACATATTCACCTGATTCTCAGTTTGGTTTGTGGTTAACACAGTTGACACTCTCTTTAACTTTTATTTGAAGGGTTTAAGATTTGGAGTCACTGGTTCCATTTTCGTTGCCAGATCAACCTGCCCAAGTCTGTAGGAATCACCAATGGCCCTTTCCCATTTATGTCCTGAACATTTTTTAAAGGTTTTATTGTTTAATCCTTCATCTCACCCCAGCCTTTAATGACCACCTTCCTCCTGTAAGAAGTCCTCTCATGGATCGTTAATCTCCTTCACACATTACGGACAAGCCTCAGTATTGCCTGCAGCCCACTTATAAGAAAATATGAGCTGCCATACTGGGCACCATTTGTGATTTCACTGTAATTTTCCCATTAAGCCTAGAGTTTATCAGTCTTCTCTCCTACACATTCTGGTCTTTCCCTACCCCTTTTTCCCAGTCCTCACCCAACCTCCACTCCGCCTCCTCCCTACCCCCCAAGAAATGAACTGGTTTACCCAGCAGGTTTAGTCTTGCTTTGACCAGCTTATTGTTTCAACGTGATTATGAAGTAGCTGAGCTTGAATACACAGTTTATTAATTCTCAGGCATTCATGATGTCTGTCTTGACTGTAGTGTGAGTAGTGTGTGTGTGTGTGTGTGTGTGTGTGTGTGTGTGTGTGCCTACAACAGTAACAGACACTCCCGGGGCTTCAAATTCTTCCAGTGACTGAAAAGATGGAGACTTGTAATGTATGTTACTAGGGAACCACAACGTTTTGGAGGTGGAAGAAATGCCAGCGTCTGGTTTTGGCATTTTACTGATTTGAAAATTGAGGTAGAGCAAGAGAAAAGAACACTGCCAAGAGCTAATTAGTAGGGGAGCTGGGGTCCCACTCAGAGCTATCATCCCCATCCGCATGGCTCTGTCACTCACCTGCCTCCCTCCCTGAGGGCTCATGGGGGTAAGGACTCAGGATGACCACAGACTGAAGCATGCACCGTACACACATAGCACATGTGAACACGTGCACGCAGAGATGTGGAGATGTGACACGCATATCTAGGTTACAACACAGAGCGTACCCTGTTACAATTAGAGTAAAACTACTGTAATTAGATTAACTTCGAATCCAAAGAGATCACGCCTCCCCACCCAACCCACACTACCCACTTCTCCCCCAGCAGCTCATTTCTCTTAAAGATGAATACATTTCAAAAGGAACCTTGGAGGAATGTTCATATGATTTTCCTTCAGTTCCATCAATACAAAGTTATCCCTTGATTCCATGAAAATAGCTTTTTCACACATCTCTGCACACCAGCCACACACACACACACACACACACACACACACACACACACACACACACACACAAAACATTGGCAGCAGGTACTTTTAATTTGCTGGAAAATATTTCTAAGAAGTCAAAAAGCCCCAGCTGAATAAGCGTGCCCTCCTATTGGCTAGCCAGGCCAGTTGAGGAACATGATTGGTCCCTGATCCTAAGGGCCGATAAGAACGGCTATAAAATCCCTGGGTGCAGCTCTTAGGCCCCCAGTTTGCAAAAGCCAGGGGTGCAAGGAGCAGAGACTGCAGCAACAGAAACAGCAGGAGCAGCAACAACAAAAAAATCCTCATCAAATCCTCACCTAAGCTTTCAGTATATCCAGATCCACATCTTCACTCAAGCCCGGAGAGGGAGAGCGAAAAGGGGGGAGGAAAAAAAACCCCAACAACTTAGCGGAAACTTCTCAGAGAATGCTCCAAAACTCAGCAGTGCTTCTGGTGCTGGTGATCAGTGCTTCTGCAACCCATGAGGCGGAGCAGAATGACTCTGTGAGCCCCAGGAAATCCCGAGTGGCAGCTCAGAACTCAGGTAAGCGCAAACCCAGGACCGGTTTCTCCCCCCAAAGAGTTGTCCTCGTTTGCCTCTCACTTTTGCAACTGTGTCTGTGACGGCTGATCTTGATAATAACTGTGCTTCATGCCTGATGGCAATAAACTGCCAGTGTAATCCAATAGCCTTAGGAAGTGGGGCTCCTTTGTTTAATAAACTGCATGCGACGAACAAACGCAGGGGCTGGGCGCTGTGCTGAGGGTATTTCATTGCATAAGCCTGGCCTGGTTGCCTGAAATCTGGCACGTACCCTCTCGGGGGAGGGGGCGGGAAGACGTGAATGTTGGCATGCCTCAGAGAGCTCTCTATACTTCCCAGAAGCCGGTCTTGGGGTTAGACCCTGCTGCTCCGGTGCCGGCCCTCCCCCTCCCCCCTTAAGACCCTATAACTTGACGTCTCTACCTCTTTAGAGAACACAGAGAAGCTCCCTCTTCAGTCTGACAAATCCAGGGCGGATTCAGAGGAAACCCTATCCATCCCACCCCCAACACCCACCGCTGCCGCTCCCTCCTTCTCCGCTCTCTGGGCCCCAGCCACTCTGCATGCAGCCCGATGGCAAGAGAGCCCCTTGCAAAAGACTATTTGTGAAATGAAGCAGCTGTTTCTCCAAGGGGAAGGTCTCACTTTCGCCCTGACTCCCGGAGCAGTTAATTGTGTCTGCCCCTGGCCTCTGAAGGAAAAGAGGCAGGGGGAAGCCTGCGTTGACACCTCTGCCCCTCCAGTCCTCCCTCGCCTCTTCCATCCCTGCCCTCTCTCCTCCAACTGTCAGCAGAGATGGGATCGCAGGTGTGGAAATGCTGCAGAAGCCGCTCCCCCTGGAAGAGCGCAGGTCCCTGCCTAGGGGAGAGGAGGGCTTCTGCCTTACTTCCTTTTGTACTTAGTTGCTATAGAGATGCCGTGATTCACAATTCGAGCTTGCCTAAAACAATAGCAGCCCTAATGCATATTAAAACTGCTTAAAGCAAAGTTATAATTTGAACCCGTGGAAATATATAATTAAGGAAATGACTTGTAATATCCCAGAGGCCGCGGGTGGTGGGAGGGGGTGGGGAAACCTCGCTGAACCGTGCTTTAGATCTCAGAGGAGAATCCTACGGTATGAAGGCGACAGATCATTTCTTGTCGAGCTGCCTGCCAGAACACCCCCCTTCTGTGGGAGAGAAATTACTTTTAGGAGAGATCTTATCCAGAATGTAGAAAAACTCATGCAACTTCTTTGTGGTTTTCTTCCAGTCTTGCACAAGGGGTCCCTTGGCCTTGTTAGTGCACACCTGTGTTTCTCTTTTTTGAAAAAAAAAAAAAAAAAAAAGCTTTTAATATGAGAGAATTATACATACCTCTAATCACTGTCCGGTAGTGGGGGCTGAGGCGAACATGAGTGGATCAGATTCCTTTCTGCCAAGAAGACGGTGAGTTAAAAAAAGAACCAGAAGGGTCTCCCTCTCTCCAGGTGGACACTCTGGGTTGTAATTCCATGCTTTTTACTCTGAAGTGTATTTTTCAGAAGACAGATAGCTTCCCTGGCCCTCCCACCTCTTAAACCTGACCGCTAGCCCCTGCCTGCTCCCTTCTCCCCCTTGCCTTCGGCTGCCAAAGGATGGACTTTGATTCCACGGAGAGGCTGAAAATCACTGGGCACTGCACAGTCCAACCGCACTTGTCCAGCCACCCAAACACATGCAATGGTGAGACAGAGAAGATGCATCTCCAGGGAGAAGGCATCCCCTCCCCGCCCAGTGCTCAGGCTCTGAGAAGCAGAAGGGCCTGCTTGCTCATGCCCCCTTCTCTCCCCACTCCTCTTCAGACAGGCCCTTCCAATGCCCCTCGGGACAGACTTCTAGCATAAGTTCTTCTGATCCTTTGTCCTTGAACTTTCTGTCTGCATCCACTTGATCCCACCCAGCACCCTCTATGTTTGACCCAGCCTGGATGTGTTTGTCTCTTCCAGCTGAAGTGGTTCGCTGCCTCAACAGTGCTCTGCAGGTTGGCTGTGGGGCTTTTGCCTGCCTGGAAAACTCCACCTGTGACACAGATGGGATGTATGACATCTGTAAATCCTTCTTGTACAGCGCTGCTAAATTTGACACTCAGGTAATATTGCCCTGGCTGTTTGTCTTTAACCCCGTGTTGGATTATTGATTAGTAAACAGTCCAGGGAATCAGCCCTGCTTTCCAGCCTCCCTACATCAAATTCCCATCTTTGGGTGTATACACACGCACACACACACGCACGCACACACATGCCTTCTTTGGGCCAGACTCCCAAACCCCACTCCCAAGACAAGGCTGGAAGGAGCTGTCAGAAGCTGGCTTGTGAGGGGAGGGGCTATGTGTAGGAAAACTTTCCTCTTGAAAAGGAAATAAAAATGTTCTTCTAACAAAGAAGTTTTTGCTGTATGCCCTGGCACACTAGCTTGTAATCTGAATTATCATATTCAAACCCAAGGATATAAAGCTGGATTATGACAGTTTTCAAGCTCATCTCATATCCTTTCTCCAGGGCCTAATTCTCGAGAGAATCCAATGGGAAGGGAATTTTAAATTCTTCGCCATGGGTGCAATCATCACACTGCAAGGAAATGTAGATGGCCAAGATAGTTGCTGAAGTGAGCCCCTTTCAGGTCCCCAGGTTGTACACCCTGACCTCATTCATCAGGTCAAGCTAAAGCTTTGCCTCCCATCCTCCCTTCTTGGCAGGGAAAAGCCTTTGTCAAAGAAAGCTTAAAGTGCATCGCCAACGGGGTCACCTCCAAGGTCTTTCTCACCATTCGGAGGTGCTCCACTTTCCAGAGGATGATTGCTGAGGTTCAGGAAGAGTGCTACAGCAAGCTGAATGTGTGCAGCATCGCCAAGCGGAACCCCGAGGCCATCACTGAGGTCGTGCAACTGCCCAATCACTACTCCAACAGGTACAGATGCATCCCCTTCTCTGCAATCAGGGGAGGTGGAGGGCTGGCTGGCAGAGCCCGTTTGAGAAGGAGGGTTAAATTGCCACAGTCACACTCTTATTTTAGCTTGCAGTCTTCCCAGCTTTTGCAGGAAAATATGTTTGTGATTGGTAGTGACAGTTTAAGCAGCTTGGATTTTCCCCCCACTGTTAGAGAAAAAGTCTTTTCATGCAGCTAACAGAAAGCTTCGTCTGCAGCATCCTTGGGCACATTTTCTTTGTTCATTCCTTGCCATAAGCCTGAAGGAAAGGGCAAACTTTCTGGTAACCACTTTTTAAGAATAAGATTTGGCTGAAACCATGATTGTGCAGCAGTATAATTGGCCATGATTATTTTTTTTAATTCTGATTAAATGTCATAATGCAGACTTTTTGTAAATCTGCATTATTTCAAATCAGTGCTCATCCCAGTCAGATATTCCTCTGGCTAACCCAGAACAAGTCATCTTAGTCTCCTAGTTCTCAGATTTTTCTTTGCAAAAAAGTGAAAGGACGAAACTGGACCATTGGTAGGTCTCCTTCCAGGTCTTATGTTATCCAGTCCAAGATTGCCCAGGAAGAAGTTCTGGTGGCCACAGAGAGCCCATTCAAATCCTGATTGATCTAACTTGACCCAAAGCCACTAAACTTGGAATATCTGAGCCACATGTCTAGCTGTGCCCTGGACTTACTGTCTCTCCCAGCTAGGACAGAACTCCTCATTCACAAGAATGCTGGCCTCCATGTGAGGGGCCTTCAAAGGTTTCCAGCAACAGATAAGGGAGCTGGTGTGGCTGGCATGGAGGGGTAGCACAGGCAGTGCAGGCAGGTCAAGTTTATCCTACTGGGACGCACCTTGGCCTAAAACTACTCTTGGTTCTGAAGTTCTGTGATTTTTTTGACTCTCCACAAAATCTGCACATAGTTCCAAAGATCAGTTCTATGCTATCCTGATACCCTGAGAGTTATCACAGGCTTACTTGATAAATTTCCTAGCCTGTACCTTTCTTCAGAATAGCTTAGGAGTGATTCAGTCATGTGCATGTATGCAAGATAAAACCAGAAAAGTGGTTCCTAACCTTACACAAAGGTTAAGGTCTCTGACATAACAAATTCTAATTCACTCTTAACTACATGTGATTGCCCCTCAAAGCCACAAGTTCATTTATGCAAATCATTTATCTGGTCTTTGGAAGAGCAACTCTACCATAGAGTTGTAACCAATTTTCTCACAACAGGGAAATTAACTCAAACAGTTTATTTCTCTCAAATAGCTTATCTCTTTATAGCAGCTTTGGTTTTAAAATTCTCCTAGGAAGACTCTTGTTGCATGGTGAAGGGAGGGGTGACCTGACTAAATGTTAGAAACTCCCTTCACTATCAGGAAATGAAATGAAGGATTCTTCATCAGACTATGGCTAAACATGAAGTGGGTTTTTACGCAGTAGTTGGGGGAAGGGGTGTGTTAACAAAGTCATTATTACAAGTCTAGATCCTTAAGTATCCTGTGACAAATATGATCAACAATATGGCCCATTACAAATTTCCAGGCAATGTTGATCCTGCTATTTCTACTGAAATCCTCTTTTCATAATCTTCCATTATGAAAGGAAACACACTATAGAAAGGAAGGTGCAGAGGCTAGATGGGCGATCCCACCTGGCCCAGGAAAAGTTCTTAACCACACTACTGTTCCTTTTAATATGTACCTTGTTTTCCAATACCCTTGGAAAAGGGTCATAAAGAAACTCTTCTCATTGCCCCCATTTATCTTAAGGGACTCACACGTAATAGGAAATATTACCTATTCAGTGGGGGAAAATACGCCCAGCACTTGAACACCAGAATCGCTTGTATAGCTCTTACCCTTCTCCAAGTTTTTCACTTCAGCAGGCTACTATTATTCCTGTTCAGGACTGGAGAGATTTCCGGTTCCAAGCTGGGCTTGACTTGCTCTATTTAAGCTCCTCGCCCTCCTAAAACATCCTGCTTTCTCAGCCTCTGTCCCACCATAGACACATGCTAAATTGGTGCCAATTGGCAAGAAATTGCAAAAGGAAGTAGTTACAGGTTCATTCCACCTTCCTGTGACTTATCTAGCATGAGATTTGGGACTGGGAGAATCCAAAAGCCTGTGGCTGGAGCAGGAGGAAGAATAAGGAGATTTTCTATGACAGAAATGCACCTAGAAGAGAAATTACAGCTGGAGTGTCCCCCTGGAAAACTGTACCTTCAGCCCTGAGGAAGGAGGCAGAATTGATCAGCAGGCAGGGCAGTGTGAGGCTTGGGAACGAATGAGACCAACCCAGATCCAGAGTGGGAAAACTGACACAGCGTTCAACTCTCTAGGGCAAGGATAGGGAACAGGAAACAGAAGAATAATATTGATCAAGGGAAACAAAGGACTATTTATAAACCCTCACACAGAGCGTTCCTAGGCAGTATGTGAATATTTGGGTAAGCATGGCTGAAACAGTAGCTATGGAGAATATCTGATCTTATTCTTTACCAAGAAAAAGCAATCAGGGATGAAATTTTCAAAAGGGGAAGAAAGAAACATGCTTCAAAAGATCCTTCCAGGCTGAGGGATCAGAACAGTTAAACCACTGACCCTGTTGCATATCCCCTTCTGCTCCCATAAAGGGAATCTTCTTAAATAGAGGGGCCTTAAGCTGAACTGCAGTATTTTTTGTTAAATTGAAAAGGAAAATATGTTTTGAATCCCTGGAAGTATAGGATGTCATAGCTGAAGAAGACTAATATCTAGATTAATTGCCTCATTTTACTGATTGAAAAATGAAGGCTCAGAGCAAGGAATGACCTGCTGAAGGTCACACAGTTTGTGAGTAACTGAATTGGGCCCAGAATTCACATGCCCTTGAGCCAAGTTATTTTGATTTCAAAAATGGCAGCCAAAAAAGCCTGCAAGAAATATCCACAATCCAAAAATAGAATGCAAGTATAATTGAAGATAGACACACCATGGTGGTCAGCAATTCGATTTGTGCACATTCTTTCCTAAAAGGCAAAGTACATCCTCCCAACGGCCATAGTAACAATAAGCCTTGGTACAACAGGGTCTTCAATAAGCGACAATTGCTAAGTCCACTCTTGCTAGAGGCACAACTTCTAAAAATTAGCCTTTTCACTTAGTGACCTAGAAGAAAGATCTGTCTCATTGACCAGCACAATTCCAGAGGTCAATGCTACAGTCCAGCCTTAATGAAGAAGAACAGGGTTAACTGTGTTAGTATTAAGGCAATTGACGAGCAGCCTTGGAAGAGCTGCTAAAGGAGTTCTGGCCTGCTTTCTCTTCCAAGGAGCCTCTCTTCACCTGTCATGCTGGGCTGTCAAAGTTCTGTGAGAAAAGTAGCAAGAGTAGATGTGGGGTGGAGGGTCACTAACAGCAGTGGGCTACAGAAGTCAAGTATCCTGGCTGGGACACCAGAGAAAGGAACACTAAGGGTAAAGGCCCTCAGAGAAAGAGAGCAGGCACTTCTACAAAGTGTGGTCACAGGGAATATGTGGCCTTAAAGTGGCAAGGTTAGCTAGAGAAGCTTAATGTCTTTAAGAGTATTAGCCTTCTGCATCCAGAGAAGTGCTTCTAATTCTTTATAAGAAGAAAGAACTTCTCTCTTTTTCTATTTCTAAGGAAAGGTCATATTTTCCAGCCCATTTGGGGGCTAATGTGGCATAAATAGAACTTTCTAGAAGGGTAAGTGTTCACTTCTAAGTTATAAAGTCCTTATTGGACGCTGTCCTCTAGGAGCTACTTGTCCTCTGAAATAGATACAGTGATCCAACAAACCCAGGTCCTGGCAGAGCCCAGAAGTTAAGAGCTGCCTGGAGACCCATGTGTGTAGATGTCTGAAACTATTGGTGCAGAGTTGTTTATTCTCAGTTTTTCCAAAACCAGTTTTCTCCCCATTCCACCATCCAAGTGCTACTTGACTCATGTGCTTTGTAATTCCAAAGGGCTGGAAAATGTTCCCGTGTGCCAGAGAATCCCAGCTTCACTCACAGCTGGATGTAATTGTCCCTAGAGGGAGGGGTGCAGGATAAGATTGTGTCGGCAACCCAGACACTGCACTTCTTTTCCGGTCCTCACCATCATCCTCCTCCCACAGAAGGGTGAGCAAGTGCTCTGCCTCATTACCCGCGTTCCAGTCTATTTACTGTACATCCTTGAAAGGACCTCTCTGGGGGTTCAGTTATTCTGGAAAGATCTTTGATCCTGTACTCCGGGAGGTGAGTTAAAAATAAATAGGTTTCTTTTCCTGGAAGATCCTGTGGCCCTAGAGATCCTCTAACTCTTCTGAGGAAAGGGTCTCCCTGTGTAAGGACAGCAGGTCACTGTCATCAGGACCATTTCCTATTAGTGAACAGATAGCTAATGGGCTTTGACAACTGTCACCTCACAATGGAACAGATGCATCCCAGCACAAACTGGAAAATACCCGAACTATCTAACCACAGAGTCACCACGCATTTATTTATATGTTCTGATTATTAGACAGTTGAATCCTTTCTCAGCCATAACATTCTGTGCATTGTTTGGGAAATTTAAAGAATTTGTTCCAAAGATGGAGGTAGGTTTCAGCAGACACAAGGATTTTTTTGGTAAAATCTATCAGGTCTATACACAATTTTTTCTTTAGCAAATCATTATTGGGGAGAATTCAGTTTTTAAAATTGGTTTTCCTAAACGGCCACAAAGTAAATTTAAAAATCTTCAATGAGTAGACATTCTACCTCACGACACTTACACATAAGGGATACAAAGAGTAAGCACATAAATCCTGCCTCTGATAAGTTTTCAACTGGAAACCATCAAATGCTAGCCTTTGTGATAGAAGCCAATTTATCTATAAGGCACTAAATGCAAAAGCCAGAACAGTAGGAAAAGTTCTCATGAAAGTATAGAACCATGAACACTTAAAGACCATTCATCTTTCCTTTTAAATATCCTCACTGCCTAGCCTTTGGCCTCCTGGAGAAAAATTTGAAAGTGGGATCAATCAACAGCCTTTAACCAAGACTAGGTGAATGAGTGGTAAGGAAAGTAGATTTCATGGGGAAACACCTGGTCCACAGGAGACAGGGCCTTAAAAGATTAGTCAGAAAAATATACTCATCTGCACATATGCATGAGTATATACAACCATCAAGAAAAAATTGCAAAGAAGCGTCATAATAACTGTAAAGACCTGTGCAGTAATGCTGCATATGAGCATTGAGTGTTGAGTTCACCTTATTGCATTGATAATGTTTGACTAAGACCCACTTCTGTCATTAACTCATTGTATGATCTTGGACAAGTCACTTCAACTGTCCTACCTTAGTTTCTTCTCTATAAAAAGAGAGTTGAGGGCCGGGGATTTAGCTCAGTGGTTCCACTGCCTGCCTTGCAAGTGCAAGGACCCGAGTTCAATCCCCCATACCAAAAAAAGAAAAAGAAACCAAAAAGAGAGTTGAATCAATCACTGAATGGTCTCTGTGTTCCCATTTAGCCCAACTCAATGGTCCTCTAGATCAATATGCCTATTTCAGAGGGTTTCTAAAATTTTTCAGGCATCAAAGTCAGCCTATTATCCAAAGTGTGATCTAAATCTTCTAATCTCTAAATCTGAAGACAGATTTGTCTTGTGTGGCCTGGGGAAACCTGGGGAGCATGTCATTTAGACTAAGAAGACACTGTTTGAGGTAGGAAGCGAAAAGCCACCTTCAGCTGATGTGCTCTTTATGTTTGCATGGTTCAACTGCTGGGGCCTGGTGTTGGCTGCATAAAAACCAGAAGAAAGCTTGGCTCTTACCGTGTTCTCATGAGTGACTGTCACACCTGCTTTCTTTCCCAATGCAGATACTACAACAGACTCGTTCGAAGCCTTCTGGAATGTGATGAAGACACCGTCAGCACAATCAGAGACAGCCTGATGGAGAAAATTGGGCCCAACATGGCCAGCCTCTTCCACATCCTGCAGACAGACCATTGTGCCCAAACACACCCGAGAGCTGACTTCCACAGGAGGCGTACCAGTGAGCCGCAGAAGCTGAAGGTCCTCCTCAGGAACCTCCGAGGTGAGGGAGACTCTCCCTCCCATATCAAGCGTACCTCTCAGGAGAGTGCGTAACCAGGGAGAGGTACTCGGAACCTCACCAAACTAGTATCATTTTAGGGGTGTTGACACACCAACTTTGAGTGTACTGTGCCTGGTTTGATTTTTTTAAAGTAGTTCCTATTTTCTATTCCCCTTAAAGAAAATTGCATGAAACTAGGCTTCTGTAATCAATATCCCAACATTCTGCAATGGCAGCATTTCCACAGAATACGTGCGAACGTTCTGCCTCTCCTCAGGAGAACGTACCCTCTTTCATTACCTTCCTCTAGCGATGTCTTTTCCCAGCTCCCTTCCAACTACCCTCAAACACAAAACATTCATGTATCTTTCCTGTCATAGTAAGTTGAAAATGTGGAGCCCTTTAGAGTGGTTGCCCCAGTAGAGTTAGTGGATACGAAACAACTTTATTTAAGTGCATGTCTTAAATGCTCATAAAGATGTTAAATGGAATTCGTGTTATGAATCTGTGCTGGCCATGGACGAATATGAATGTCATGTTTGAATTCTTGATCTCTAATGAGCTAGTGTCTTATGGTCTTGATCCTCCAATGTCTAATTTCCTTTCCAACACATTTACCAAATTGCTCAAGACTGGCTCTCCAACCAGACTTTGAGCCTGCATCTTCTTGCATCTAATGAAAAACAAAAAGCTAACATCTTTATGTACTGTAACTGCTCAGAGCTTTAAAAGTATCTTTAACAATTGTCTTAAAACCAGAGAATCTTAAGGTCTAACTGTGGAATATAAATAGCTGAAAACTAATGTACTGTACATAAATTCCAGAGGACTCTGCTTAACAAAGCAGTATATAATAACTTTATTGCATATAGATTTAGTTTTGTAACTTAGCTTTATTTTTCTTTTCCTGGGAATGGAATAATTATCTCACTTCCAGATATCCACATAAATGCTCCTTGTGGCCTTTTTTATAACTAAGGGGGTAGAAGTAGTTTTAATTCAACATCAAAACTTAAGATGGGCCTATACAAGATAGGAAAAACCAACAGGCTTATCTGAAGGACCCCAGGTAATCTCCCAGCCCACCTCAACCCAGAGGCTACACTTGACTTAGGCTTATCCTGAAACATCTCTGTCATATCCAACTGTGAATTACAGGAACCAAAAAGAGCATCCCTTTGGGCTTAGACTACTTAGTGTGATAAGGCCGACTCTAACTTGGGAAGTGGCAGTTCTTAACTCGCCATCTTTCGTCAGTGCCTGGCACTCTGGCAGATGATGATGGGGTGGGAGATCATCCACTAAACCAATCAGGAATGAGTCAATGGGCCTTTGGGTCTTTAGTCCAGGGGACGTGGGGCTGAGGGAGTATAAATAACCCTGGGCTGTCCAGCCTTAATAGATTCCTCTTACATTTTTGTCCTGTAGCACGCTGCCTGCCAAAGTAGCCCTGGCAGCTGGACCATCTCTGTAGAATCGTTTAAAAAAAGAAAAAAAAAAAAAGAAAAAAAAGATAGAAAGAAAGAGGGAAAAGAGCTAGTGGTTGATCATTTCTGCCGTGATGTTTACAAGATGGCGACCACCAAAGCCAAATGATTAACCTATCTATGAACAGCAGTCATTTCTCAGGGTCACTGTCCTTGAACCCAACAGTCCCTTATGAGCGTCACTGCCCACCAAAGGTCAATGTTGAGAGAGGAAGAGGGAGGAGGGGTAGTTCTGCAGGGGCCGCTCCAAACTCGCTTGAGTAGAAACTATTGGTGCTTGACTCTCACTAGGCTAAACTCAAAATTTGACTAAGTCGAGTGAGAAGGACCCTGGTGGGAGGAGGGAGGGCACCTCTCCAGAAAAATGAAAAGCAATACAACTTTACCACGAAGCCTTTAAATCCAGAACCGTGCTGCTCAAGGAGCAAGATCAAGGGCAGCAGATCCAGCAGCCGCAGCAGTACAAACGCTGCTGCCTTTGTCCCCACATAGCCTCTAAGCGTGCTGACATCAGATTGTAAGGGCGTTTTTATACTCGGAATTGCCCCATCCCCAGGTCCCCAGACAAATGGACACTGCCTTAGCCTCTTGGAAATCAGGTAGAGCATATTCTAAGTTAGATGCCCCCTCTCTCCCCCGACGTCCCACCCCAGGCAAGGCTGACTTCTCTGAACCAGAAAAGCTAATCAAGTGTGTGTGTTGTGTCCATTTTGCAAACCCACTAACCCAGGACCCCAAAGTGACGAGTAGTTCATGAGGATTCCTAACAAATTCTCTCTTATTTCAGTCCAGTAGATTGTCCCTCTCCCCCCCCCTTTTTCTTTTTGCTGTGACCTTTTCAAACCATGGTACCCCTTTTCTCCCCCATGGTAATATTTATATATGTACCTACAATACATATATCTACACATATGGAAAGAAGCAGTTCTCACGATGTTGCTAGTTTTTTGCTTCTCTTTCCCCTCCTCACTCCCTCCGACTCTTCCTTAAACTTCCAAAGCTTCGTCTTGTGTTTGCTGCACAGAGTGATTCGGGGCTGACCTAGACCAGTTGCATGATTCCTCTATCGTGATTTGGTTGCACTTTAGATATTTTTGTGCCATTATATTTGCATTATGTATTTATAATTTAAATGATATTTAGGTTTTTGGCTGAGTACTGGAATAAACAGTGAGCATATCTGGTATATGTCATTATTTATTGTTAAATTACATTTTTAAGCTCCATGTGCATATAAAGGTTATGAAACATATCATGGTAATGACAGATGCAAGTTATTTTATTTGCTTATTTTTATAATTAAAGATGCCATAGCATAATATGAAGCCTTTGGTGAATTCCTTCTAAGATAAAAATAATGATAATAAAGTGTTATGTTTTATTGGTTTCCCCTCCCCTATGTCTTTCATTGTTCTTCTTTAAAAATTTCTTGAATGAGAATTCCAGAGCATGGAGTCACTGGCAGATTAGTTTTCTTGAAGGTCGCTAATCAACTGTCAACATGTAAAGGAATATAGTTTAAAACAAAGAAATTTGTTTTCCAAATTTCTTTAAAACCACTAAGTAGCTCTCATGGCCCTCATGGGAAATTGAAATTCAGACTCCTTGCAAAGTTGGTAGAAGCTCTGTGATCTGCAGACTCATTAACAATCCAGACTTACAACTCCACGTCCTCTGTTCAGTGACTTTCACACTCCAGCATCCCAGGCAGCTCCGAGAAGAATCACACTCTGTCTCCCTTCCAGGTCTTAATTGATGCTGGTATCACTTTCTAGAAGAACTTTCCTCTGCCCTTTGCCTAGACTGGAAGCACCTGGAAGACAGTCTGTGCTTGCTCACCAGTGTGACCTCAGCACAAAAATAGCACCTTTGGTGCTTTAAATAATTTAGAAAGCATAGCAAGAGGGGAAAATACCACCCTGCTACTCTGGGGTCAGGACACCATAGGGTTGGGATTCTGGCTCTGTCACTAACTAGTTGCATGATGAGTTACTCAATCCTGCATCATGTCAGTTTCTGCCGCTGTACAATGGAGATAATGACAGTGATTCCCCTAGAGCTGTGATAAGGAGATAAGAGGACCGCTTATGCCATTCACAATGCACAGTTAGCTCAGTAAGTGGCAACTGTATCATGGGCAGAGGAGAGAGGAGCCAGGACTCCCCATTTCAGAAAATGGTCAAATGATTCACATCAGAGTAGCAGCTGGGTCTTGAAGGGGGTTTATGAGTTCAGTCCAGAGAGAAGCTGAGCTTTGTGCTGTAGTTTTTCTAAGAGAGCCCATATGCAATTTTTTAAAATTAGTCGATTCTTCTTATAGTTTATCTTAGTCACTTTTTTTGTCCCTGGGACACAGTACCCAACACACACAGCTGAAAGGAGAAGAGGTTTATCTTGGTTCACAGTCTCAGAAATTCAGTTCATGATTGACCGGCTCAAACATGAGAATGACATGGTGGAAAGGTCTGGTGGAGGAAAGCTGCCTACATTATGGTGGCCAGGAAGCAGGGAGCATGGGAAGGATGTGAGGGAGGGAGTTACACCCTTCCAGGCCATGTCCCGTGACCCTCCACCAACCAAGCCCCACCTCACAAAAGCATATTTAGCACATTCAGTGTAGTACCCCCATGATCCAGTTGCCATCCTAACACATGAGGCTTTTGAGGGACACCCCAGATCTAAGTCATAACAGAAATTAAATCCAAATGGCGACACTGTTCTTAATATTGTTCATGTCTAGCTCCCAGCTGCATTTTCCCAAGCTCAAATACACATAGAACAGCTAATAAATGGAACATGAATTATCACTTTAGAGCCAAAAATGTGTTCCATTTGCTTTACCCTGACCTGACCAAGGAAAAATGATATAGCATTTTATTATTGTTACCCTTCACCATCAGTCTTCTATCAATGTTTATTTCTACAGAAAGACTGTACACTAGGCTACTGTATAGTGCTAAGAACTTAGATCTGGAATTCCTATAACCTGAGTTCAAATTCTAGTCCCTCCGTTTTCACTAGGGCTTTGAGTTGAGAGCCTGACCTCTTCTCCCCTTAGTTTTTTACTTATGAAAATATCCCTATGAAGTAGGGATAAATAGGCTTTACCTGCAAGAGTGACTAAGAATTACATGTGTTACATACAAAGCATTTAAAATAGTCCTGAGCACATAGCAAGTGCCCTCAGAATAGTTTATCGAGCACTCAACAAACCTATTATTACTCATATTCATGCCATCACCACCTAATGGTGGTGGGAGATTGAATTCCCATCTCCAACATGTCTTCAAGTATCATTTTGGAGCAAGAATTATTTTTCTTATTCCTTTTCCTTTTGTAATCCCTACATATTACTGTTTAATTAAGATTTTCTGAATTTGAACTATAAAATATTGCCATCTACAAAAAGTGGCAAATTATACCATGATGAACACCTGCAATCCCATCACTGAGCTTAAGAAATAAAACAGAACAGTTAGCATAGTCTCCTGTGTGTCTCCCTGGGCCATTCACACATTAACAATCCAGGACTTTAAGACATTTTGAAAAGTCGTGGCTCGAGAGGGTAGAATTCCTCATATTATTGAAATATATTAATTTTTAAATTTTTTCTATCAGCCTTTCCAGATCATAGTATGATCTGAAAGTCTATGGTATGAAAAGGAAAAGGTCAGGTTATCCTTCCTGTGGGCTCTGTATGGATGTCATAAAGAACCATCAGCATGGCTCTTAAACCAGTGACTAAGAATGTGCTTGCAAATCACCTGAGGATCTTGGGGTGACTGAGTATGTCTGGATAAGGGCCAAAGCCTGCATTTCCAACATGCTCCCTAGTTCATGGTTCATGGAGGATGCTTTAACTATCAAGGTTCCAACTCTCTCAGTTCATCTCAGTTGTTTCCTTTGTGAAGCCTCCAGGCAGCCACAGGAGATGTGGCTAAAATGCAAGACTGATCATTTCACGTCCTAGCCTCAGTTGCTCTCCATCACTTCAAAGACAAAATCTAAGCATCTCAACTGTATGCCTCTCAAAATACAAACCTTTTATTCCAGCAAGCATTTTAGATTCTATTGATGAGAATTTCTCACTATTCTCCGAAGACACCATGAGCTTTGCTGCCTTGTTAGTGTCACACACTATCTTCACATTATCATTTCATGTGTCATTAGTGAACAGCCTTCTCCTTGAACTCCTTTTTATTCACCAAAGCCCATGCTATCTGCTGGAAACTTTCTCCAGTTCAGCCAAGCATGTGGCAAATCACACTGCAGCCTGCTTTCAAGAAGAAAAGGTCTTAGTCATCCTCCTATAACTGATGCTTAACTCAAAACCAGCAAGCACCAAGCATTTGTGAGTGGAGGAAGGAAGGACTTCTTTCCTTCTCCACCAATTAACCCTTGCCTTTGCCTGCAGTAGGACCTGAAGTGTTACAGGAATAGCAGCATACCCAGGAATAGCAGCATATCCTGGGGAATGGAAGGCATGTTGCCGTGGTGGGTGGAGAAACAACTAATTCCAGGTACTAGTTTCCCAAAAACTATTTCCAGGTATTCTTAAGTCTTCCAGCTTGTAAGACTACATAACTATATTTCTTCCAGCATTAGCCCTATTAATAGCATACAGCTGCAACAAAAGACTCATCCACAAACACGCATAGATACTTGCTAAGTTTACACCAGGCATCACACTGGAGAGCTGGCCCTTGTATCCTGAGTTACATTGTCATGCATACTCTTCATTTCACTAATTATTCTTTGAGCTCAATCTCTGCTATGAACTACATTCTTCATGGCCCTTTGATTTTTCTTCCCAAAGAAGGACCTGCAGGTCAGGAAACAATATTGCCTGAGCCCAACCATCCACATTAATAGAAAATCTGAAGAGTGATGCACATCACTATATTTTGCAAATAAGTGAGGTCCAATTATTGAATAAGAATCAATTAAGCAATGATGTGCCACAGTGCCTAGTGGCCCACATTCAGCACACTAAGCTGAGAACTCTGATTCAGATCCTTGTCTGCCAATTAAATGCACCTCTGCTTTCCATCTGCACTAAGGGATTTGTGGCTTCAAGTTGAGGACAGAATGCTATTCTCAACTCTACCACAATTAAGTCACACTGCAGGTGTACTCTGTTGCAGGAAAACCAGATGAAGTATATGTCCCACAAGAGACTGCGGTTGTTTCCAACATGTGGTCAAAGTCCTGGCACCAATTCCAATGACAGCCTCTCACTTCTTCTGGGAATTCCTGGAAGCACAAATTCTCCAAGCCATAGCTCATTGCATCCACACCAGGCTGAATGCCTCTCCTCCCTAACTCCTGTCCATCAGAACTAATAAGCTGAAAACCTGCACTGTGCTAATCACTTCATGCCTTATAGTCTGGTCATCCAAAGTCACCAGTGAAAATGTAAGCCTCTCCAGTCAAAGAGCCCCCCAACAATGGCAAATTCCTATATTGCTTTATGTCCCCCTTGTACTGGTCAGCTTCCTGTTGCTGAGACAAAATTACCTAACATCCACAACCTAATGAGGAAGAGGTTGTTTTGGCTCACAGTTTCAGAGGTCTAGGTCCATGGTCAGCTGGCTCCAAAGCAAAAGCATCATGGCTGAAGTGTATGGTAGAGGAAAGCTGCTCAATTCAAGGCATCCAAGAAGCAGGAGCAGGGGAAGAGCCCTGAGTAGAAGAGTGCAGGGATCAAATACAGTCCCCAAGGTCATGCCCCTAAAACCCACCCAGACACACCTGGAAATGTCTCTCAAGCCAATCAAATTGACAGTCAAGATTAGCTGTCACACACCTCTCTGAGGCCATCTCCTACTGTTTTCCTTTCTCCAAAATCTGCCCAAATTCTACTATATTTATCCATTGGGATCAGTGGTGGGTTAGTTCTCGAAAAATTTTCCTCTTCAGATACCAGAATCCACATATTATCTTCACATTATCATTTCACATATCATTATCTCCTTGAACTCCTTTTCATTGATGTTCAAGTCCCTTTTACATAATAGCAGAGTAATTGTGCATAACCTATGTGTATTCTCCCATATTCTTTAAATCATCGCTAGAATACTTATACTACCTAATACAATGTAAATGTTATATAAATAGTGTTTGCTGTATCTTTGAGGGAACAATGACTTGGAAAAAGTCTGGACATGTGCGTCTTCAGCATAAATGCAATTCTTCTTTTCTGAAGATTTTCAATTTGCAGTTGGTTGAATCCGCAGATATGGAACAAAAGGAAATAGTGGACCAGCTGTATGTCTCAAATCTCTCCCTTTATATTTCCCCTAGTTGCTTGTCCTAACTG